AAAGCAGTGCTCCGAAGCACTCCAAAAAAGAAGTACTCATGAGTACTTCGAATAAGACTTATAGAATTATCACTTATTAGGCGTACTCATGGTTACTATTTTTCTGGAGTGCTTCGGAGCGCTCCTTTTCATAAAGTGCAGCTGAGGTACTGCGGAGCACTTCAAAAAAAGCAGCACTCAGAAGTACCCATTTTTTGTGGGTACTCCGTTGTAACTTTTGGAGTACTCCTTTTTTCCAAAAAAGAGTGCTCCATGATACTCCTCCTCTTGATATTTTTTTTTGACTGGGTACGATAAGATGGTCTAAGGTCAACAGCTAAATTCTGAAATGTTCTGCATCTAAGTGGATGTGACGAGAAGATACTTGTTCATGCATTAAGCCCTCGAAATCTTATTATATACAAGGAAAGTGTGTCAGCCGTTTCTGAGAAACAGGTCGGCAGCATTTTAAGACACAGAGCTCATCGAGAGTTTCCAGATGTTTTTTTATAGACTCATGTTCTTTGTTTTCCGTCCTTCATTCATCTTTCGGCATTGCACGTCATCTCGTCTGTACGACGTAACAGGCAGGTAGTGCGTTTTCTCAGAACTACTAACAAACAAGAACACTATAAATTATCAAACTAACCATTTCATGTTCAATCAACCACCACATGACATGAAGTATATTTAAAACGAAATACACTCTTATTCGCTCATTTGTTTCCTACCAATTATATATGTATAACAGAAATGGTTTGCTTTGAACTTTCAGATACTTTATTGATTCTTCTTACTTATTCTTGTTATTGTCACTCTTTACCAGTATAAAAATAACGCTGTCTTGTATCGAAATGAATGGTAGTGTTTGTCAAACAGGGGTGTGTTTACCATTAGTAGTTAAATGTGGTATGATAGCAGTCAAAGATAATAATAACAACAACATCCCATCAGGAGAAGATTATTATACGGTTGATAACGATCTCGCACGTTTGATGTGTGCACTTGGTCTCAAATCAAAGCAACAACAGAAAGCATGCGAAATAGTACCAATATCACTCATTCCAGTTGCATTACCCATCACCATGTGTAAACGTCGAACTCGAAAAAATGTCTCAGATGAAATTAGTGTAGCCACACCTCTATGCCTATTGAATTTGACAAAATATGATGTTCGAAAACCTATTCAATACGTTGTAACAGATTTGAAAAAAATATCTGTGGTAAAGGATTATGAGGAATATTGCGTCACGAACAGTTTACAAATATCCAATAAAAAAATGAAAGAGTGGCTGAAGAAAAATTTACAGATATCTATTTATTCTTCACAACGCCAAAGTGTTTCAAGACCAAATCGTAAACAAGGTAATGGAAGATAATATGCATTCTTTAGGAACAAAAGATAACCAATACTGATGGCCATCATATCTAATATTAAATAGTGTCTACTAAAATTCTCAAATAAGAATATGTCTGGATTATTATTTTCGAGCAGAACACGTGCTATGCTGATGGTATTCTTGTCCGATAGAAATAAATTTTCAGCTTTTTTAGCAGAAAATTCTCTTAAGAATTTGAAAATATCTCTTTGATTGAGAGACTTTTCTTTTCACTAGATAATGGAACGACCAAACGGCTACAAAATCAATCAGTTTTGAAAAACATTATATTAAAAGATTGTACAGTTGTTTTACACAGATTAGAACAAAATTATATTGAAGACGTTATCCAAGTACAACGGGTAAACACAAAATTCACTTCCAGAGATCAGAAATATAAAACCATATTGTTTATTACACGTTTGCTTCGCGAAGTCGTTAAAATCGTGATTAAAACAGGCAAGACTCAGCTCGTAATATTTATTTTTCTCATTCTAGCCACAAGCGAAATTCAAACTAATTTCTATGGAACAGCCATCCGAAGTGCTAGTGAAAACACTGATACAGGAGCAAAGGACTCGATCTAAAACGAAGGAAAATCTAGTAAAACGATCCCCACCACTTTCAAATGGAAATAAACTACCGTCAATACCACAGTGCTTATCAGCAACCAAACGAAAATTTTCCATACTACGATCATCATGCGATTTGACTGAATTAGTCAATTCGAATACAAAAAAACGTCTGAAAACGAGACCGATGTTCGTTAACAATGGACAAAAGAAAACGAGAGCAACAACAAGGAGTGGCCATTAATGATGGTGAAGATGACGATATTCTTTGTCTCGATGAAAATGGCGTTTCTCTTAATCACGCTTTGTGATGCCATCAGAACATATCCATTCTATAGTGATGAGAAAGATGTTAGTGCAATTTCACTGAATTACATCTAAGTATCATCGGTTCTCTGAAAAATGTTCTTGTCGAAAAGCTGAAATCCCTTTACACATTTTATCTCTGAACTAGTTGCTTTTTAGAGATCTGTATTTCGGAGAACTTATCTTCATGCTAGTCATAGGTGGTCGTGTTTTATTTCATGATTATATTTTTATTTCTCATACTGTGTTTTTAAATAGAGAATCTCGCGTTATTAACAATTTCTATCGATCGTAGTCCTGTTATCTTTTTGCCTTTGAAAAATGTAATTAAAAAATCTTTTCCATAATCACCATTAATACAATAATGAGTAAAATGCTCGTAGATTGGCAAAATATATAGAGTACCATAGGAAATGTTTCAGTTTACTAGTGATATGTGAACAGACAGAACATCGTATACAGTTTTTTTTTCTGCTGATTAATTCTTCGTTCAAAAAATGTAGTTTCACGTACATGCAAATTAGTACTTTCATATGACAACTTATACAGTAAATATTCCTAACCAGGTCAAAATCAACTGACATTTAATAGGACATAAATTGTCTGTTAACGAAATGATTAACAACAGGGTTTCAACAGGCTTTTGATTGTGAAAAAATGGTCAGCTAACAGGCACCATTCATTTATCCTTTATCGGACCTTTAATGATAGCGTAAAAACAAGCAATTAATGTTAGTAAGGCACAGATTTAGATAACCATTAAATGGTATTTTATTGTCTGTTCTATAACCGTTATATAAACAGACAAAAAACGGACATTTACCGTTTAATTCACTCTTTTGTTTTGCTGAGCTCACTACTATATAAATCACGTTGTTTTTTTCAAAAAAAACATGGAACTTCTCCATTCGATGTTCTAACCAGAGATCAGCCTGAACCGGGCCGGTTT